AATCAATTGGCAGGGAGTGAAGGTGAATGCAAATCCTCTGTAATACGCTTTGGGTTTAGAGGATCCAATCAGACAAGTCAACTGCCAAACATAGGATTACAAACCACTTACATACTCAGAGAGCCAATACACCAGCCAAGCCCTCCAGCTACAAAAACACACACCAACACACACTCCTTCTATGCACAATACTATACAATCCACTGACACAAACAACCATATACACATGAAAAAGAGCAGACTATGAAATTGCTGCATATTCCAAGGTTTTCAAATTGGGGGCCGCAAAGGGGTGTTGGGAGAAAATATAAGAGAAAAAAAGGATTTAGCAAAATTTGCTTTTTAAGGTTGTCAAAGATATCATGTTAACTTTAGATATTAAGTTTTTTTTTTCATGTTAAAGATATTAGAGTGAAAAATTGAGGAAAAATATTTAGTAAAATGCATTTTTTAAGGTTGTCAATGATACTATATTAACTTTAGATATTACATATATTATAAAGTATAATAAATATATTAGTGAAAAAATTGGAAAAAAAGATTTCGCAAGATGAATTTTTTAAAGTTGTTAAAGTTAACATGTTAACTTAAGATATAAAATATTTTATTAAATATATTTTATATAAAAGGATTTTATAAGATGTTTTAAGGTTGTCAAAGTTACCATGTTAACTTCAGAAATTAAATATCTGAATGTCTAAGAATTAAACATATTAACAAAATATTAATGAATAATAATGAATTTGAGATTACTGTTTCATTTTCCTTTTGAAACACTTATTGAAAACTATTTATTTAATTTTATTGCCAGTCCTAGTAAATAATACTACATTTAAACCAAATCTTTTTAAAGGTTTATACATCTAACATTACTCTAATACTGGGCAGAAAAAATTGAAATATAGTGGGCAGAAAAAAGATACACTGTCAAATGAATACATAAATACTCTGCTTTTTTTTTTTAGCATAAAATACATAAAAATATACATTATTTTATCCTATTAATTAATTACGGAAACAATATATATTTCCTTTATAATATGATGTTGATTATTTTCCACTAACAGTATAAATGTTTCTTTATACATGAAATTATATCTCTGCCATTATATTTTAGGAAGAGGGGCCCTAGCAAGAGGGTTACAGTTATTATTATTTTTTTTTTTTATGTATTGTTTTAGTTGTGTTTTTGTGATGTAATGTAGTTTGTTGTTGTGCGGACTATTTGTGCTGTTTTTGTGTTGAGCCTTTTGTCTGAAGACAATTTTCTACCCCACTGGGGATAGACAATAAAGTTTTTGAAATTGAAATTATTTGGGGTCCTTGGCATAAAGCTTTTAAAAACCCTTGACATAAGGTCTAATAATATCGACAGCTGTCTTACTGTTGCTGGACTTCAGGTCTCTGTGGATGACGGGTACAATGGCCTGGCAGTGCAGGTACAACATGGCTCTTGCAATCTGTACCGCCCAGTCCACCAGCGTGTGAGGAGGGATGCGTTTCCCAGCCAGGGCCCGGTTGAGTGGCCCACCACGGGCATATTCCATCACCAGGCAGAGGTTGGGCTCCTGCAGGCACACTCCCAGAAGGCCCATGATGTTGGGGTGACTCAGCATGGCAAAGAGCTTGGCCTCCTGACGAACGCTCTCCAGCGTCTGCGACACGTCCTCGTCGGGGTCCCGTCGAGCAGCTTTCACTGCCACCTCCATCCCTTTCCAAATGGCATGGTACACTTTTCCAAAACCTCCGACGCCGATCATTTCCTCCAGCGCCAGCTCACTGAAATCTATCTGAAGTACTGATAAGAAAGAGAAAACAGGTCTCAAACACTGCCACAGATGTATCCTGTTTTCTAATTACTAATAAAAAAGATGTTTTTAATGTTTTTGAAATCTGTAATGCTCACCAAGGCTGCATTTAATTGATCAGAAATATAGTAAAAGCAGTAATATTTAATATATTGTGTTTTCTATATTATATATTTTAAATGATAATTTATTCCTGTGATGGAAAAGCTAAATCTTCAGCAGCCATTAGTCCAGTCTTTAGAGTCACACGATCCTTCAGAAATCATTCTAATATGCTGACAAAATTATTATTGGTGCTCAATTATTGATAATGGTTCTTAATATTATAAGTGTTGAAAAAGTTTTGTGGCTTAATATTTTTCTTTGATAAATATAAAGTTCAAAGAATAGCATTTATCTAAAAAAGAAATCTTTTGGAGCATTATAAGTGTCCCTGATTAATTTAACTTTTGAACAATTTATTGCGTCCTTGCTGAATAAAAGTATTAAATAACATATATTTTTTTTAATCTTACCTACCACAAATCTTTGAATGGTAGTGTATCACAGTTTCCAAAAATATATTAAGTAGCAAAAACTGTTTAAACATTGATGATGATAATAAGCAGCAAATCATCATATTAGAATGATTTCTGAAGGATCATGTCACTCTAAAGACTGGAGTAATGGCTGCTGAAAATTCAGCTTTGCCA